TGACTGGAACTTGATTACTTGGCAGGGCATCAATTATAATCTGTGCCACCATCACTTGATGCTTCTCCATGAAGTCTTTAGTCGGACTCAGCAGCATGTTGCCATGTACTTGCTCTCGGAAATGTGCATTGCCTGGAACAATGTATTCACGTCTCGCCTCAAGGACAGCTATGCCTGGCTATGCGGACCACGTGCACCCTAGGGTTGGGTATCGTTTTGGTTTTTTCGATACCGGTGCCAAATCGATACTTTTAAAATGGTTCCGGTGCCTAAATCGATACTTATTAAAAAATAAATAAATAAAAATTCCCCCCAAAAATGATGGATTGCCGGGTTTGTGGACGGGGCTTCACCTAACAGTATACATAGCAAGGTTTTTTTTGTTTGTTTGCTTATTTTGTTTTTATAATAAGTAAAAAGGAAACAAGTAGAAAGAATAGAAAAAGAATAGGGAAAGCTAGTGTTAGAGGGTAATTTTTAGATAAAAATAAAAATTCAATAGAACAGAAAAAGAACAGATAATGCTAGTGTTAGAAGGTCATTATTTATAACAAATAAAACGAAAATAAGTGGAAAGAATAGAGAAAGAATAGAGAATGCTAGTGTTATAGGCTCTTTTTTCTTTATAAATAAAACAAGTAGAATAGAAATAGAATAGAGAGTGCAAATGTTAGAGGGTCAAATGAAGATGAAAGAGATGTTTTTTCAGCCGTTTCTTGAAAATATTAAGGACTCTTAAGCTGCTTGGATTGAGCTGGGCAAGTCATTCCACCAGGATGGAACAGTTAATGTAGAAGTCCATTAAAATGTTTTATCATAGGTAGAATGCAAAATGTTTCAATACAAGCATTTCAGTCAAATGTAATTTATGCAATATTTCAAACCTTTAACCCACTTGGGAAAATTAACCCATGGCAACAGTTTAAAAGTAGCCCAATTCTGTGGAAAAAACTTGGACTTGGCAACCCTGCATCCAACAAGAGCTACCGGAGTCAGCTTTGACTGATCACAGGTCGAGAATAAGGAGAGATGACTGACAAGACCATGCTGGAGTATACGCTTAACAGATCCTGAGCTCATTGACAAATATCTGATCTTGTAAGATGTGTTCCCTATACACAGAGTGTGTGTGATCGCAAAATCGAAAGTGAAAGTAAAAAGCGCAAACGCTCATTCAAAAATATTTAAATACACTCCTTATTCTCGATCCTGAGAGCAGCTGCCTGATGCGCCAAAATTATATACAATATTAGAATGTTTAAAGAAGTGGACACGAAAATCGCGGGAGCGAAACATGTTGCGGGAGCAGGCGGCAATGGTCAGAAATTCAGCGGGAGCGAGATTAAGAAAACAGCCAAATCAGCCTTAAGAAAAGAGGACGTATGGTCACCCTAATTTATAAGCTATTGCTAATCGATGTATTCTTTTTAACGTAGTATATGGAACATATTTTCTTCCTCATTCTGTGGCAAGAAGCCTCATCAGATCACAAAAGGAAGCATTTGACTGGTATTGTGGAGTAAAAAGGTTATAATGTTCTCTTTTGTTGGACAACAGGTTTAGAAATGTGAATACAAGGGAGGTTTAGCTTTAGGCATTTTAATTCAAGCATGTTTAGCTTAGTTAACGGAAGGCTACCTGCTGCCATCAGAGCAAGTGTAATTACTGCATTCACGTGCTCCTCAGATGCTTTCATTTCCCGAGTTGTGCTTTTAAGTTGGAATGCGAAAACTACATAGACACTCTCGTTACTACAAAGATGTGTTGGATTTGTATTATTAGAGCTTTCCGACGTGTTCACGTGCATTTTCTCAGTCGGGAAATTATTTTTCACGTGCGGTGCCAGTGATGATGCTTCTTACATCCGTTTTGGAGTACCTGAGGACAAATATTTCAATCGATCGCTCAGACATGGCACCAAAATGAGGCACCGAATCTGTGTTCGGATTCGGTTCTAGTACATACCGGTTACATAGGTACCGGTGCCATATTGGTACTGGGTTTTGGTACCCAACCCTAGTGCACCCTGGTTTGTTCTTTGGGTTAAAGTATGGAATTTGCTCACCGAACAATACAATCTTCTGGCTATCAAAGTCAAGGCGTGCCCGTGCTTGCTCCAAGAATGGATGCCCCAAAATGGCCTCGGTGCCCTCTGCTACATCTGCTACAATGAAATTAACACTGACTGTTTGGGTTCCGACTTGCACTGGAATGGCAACTTCCCCGAGGACATCAACATTTATAGGGCTTATTCCCTGCAGGGCCTGTACAGTGGATAGCTTGAGTGGGGGCCTTACATCAGCCTTGATGGTCTCATAGCAGAGTCGAGGTAGCACGAGGACGGGTTAACATCCAGAATAACAGACTTTAAACATGATTGCGTTTAAATAAGATTAAGTAACCAATGCTAAACCAAAGCACCACACATGACAAAAACATTGGGTATTTTTTTTTATTAGCTTATAAAAAATTAACCGTTAAAACAAAACAACAACTAGCGGCACCTCAGTTTTTAAACTCAGGCTAAACTACACACGCACCAAACAATTAACTAGGAAATAATTTTAACATTAAATAAATAAACACAGAGAACTTTGAAAATAGGCTAGATATAATTTTAACAAATTAAATACAAAACGAAATAAAATAAGTAAAATGCTTTAAAAAAACTCACAGATTTTATATTCACAATAACTTGCTTAACAGGCTATTGCAAAAAATAAAATAAATAATACTAAAAAAAATGTTTTTTTAAAATAACGTAGACTACTAAACAAACAAATGAATTTGATCACTGGGCCTTGCTTTGCTTACTCCATATTACTATGAAGGAAAAGTATATTGCTGACTGACTGCGGTCCCAGATTTGTGCGTCTTTCTTCCAAGATCTGCCCACAAACACTGAATGCCCTCTCGGACGGCGCACTAGATGTGGGAATGCTCAAAATAAAACGCGCAAATTTTGAGAGGATAGGAAAGCGCTCTTTGTTGAACTTCCACCACTGAAGCACATTGTCTGGATCTGGTTTGTCCGCAAGTCGGCTGCCAAGATATTCTGCTATTTCAGCGTCGATGGGCTTTGGTGCTGAATTGCAGGATACGTCTTCCCAGTCTGTGAATCGGTCAGCGTAGCTTTGCTTTTTGGCTGGTGGGGGTTCATCCTGTGCTGTGGCCAGTGGGACCTGGTCAAACTTCATCTTTTGGATAATTTCTTTTCCACCTTTGAATTAGATTGTAAAAAAAAATAAGGCATTAATTCGCAGTCTATTAAAATTAGTTTGTTTGTCGTAAACTCTTATTCAGTTACTTTTTAAAGAATTTTGTTCATTGTCTTTTATTTCTTGACTTTAACTTATTCTAATTTGTAAATGCACTGCATGTATTTCGTTTATTTTCAAAGCACGTTGCTCGTTTTCTTAGAAAGTCTTATGCGAATAATCTATTAGCCTATTCGTATACAAGGTCTGTTGTATTATAATTTCGCTTTAGAATATGTCTATAAACAAATTAAATAACAATATTCAAAACAATATAGTCTATTTTAACTATTCATTAATATTACACACCTCTGATCACGTCATCTCTTGCATCTGGGCACAGCATCCGTTGCAATCACATTTTTGGAGTCAGGAACGTTGCAATTCTGTAGATCATGTGGAGGGGATTTGCTGATGTGTCACCTAGTGCCCATCAGTTCTTCCAGACATGAGGCACACACACTGGCAACTTCGGAGAGCACTGGCTCGAGGGATGCTGCTTGGCAGTGTTCAAGGAGTCTGACGGACCATGGCAGCGAAAGTGATGCGCTTAGAGAGGAGTTAACTGGGTTCAGGTGTAGTGCAGCCAAGATGGTGGTGTGTGTTTCTGGTAAGAGAAACAGGAGGGGGAATCCTAATTTAACTTGTTTAATCAAAAAAGGAGATTTGTATATGTTACTTCACACATGTGGTCCGTAATCATTTACACACTGGTAAAACATATACAAAGTTGAATAAACAGTCCAGCCAGCCTGATTTGTAACCTACTGCTGTCGAGACAAAATGTCCACTCCTAACTGCGCTACGTGCCACTAGGGGGTGTGGCTAGGGCTTTCTCACAGTAATCCTCAGTCCATATATCCGTTGTAATTGCACACCCATACGTCTCAATGATGGGCTTTATCTCCATTGCCACAGACGACTGCAGGGCCTGTGCTTTTCCCTCAATATGTCGAGACACAGTGGTTGGATGTGGCAGAGCATCTCTCACATCAAATGTACCATATTTAGCTAAAGTGCGAAACTATGTCAACAAAGCCTTTCCCGGCAACGAAGTCATACGGTCTAATGTCTTTATAGCAAAGTGCGACACATTTTTCTGTAGTGTCTTGCTTGACGTGAGCAAGAAGTGCTTTATGGGGGAACAAGAGCTTGCTTTGACCACAGAGAATTGTGCAGCTATGTTGCCTCAGGGCAGAGGTGCCAGATTTATGTCCATTGTAAATTAACACTTTTGCGCATTTAACCGCCCGCTCCAGTGAGATTTGCGTTGGGTCCCGCGGCATCCCAAACCCAATACAGCCCTCTAGTATGAAGTACCTCAAGGCTCAGTACTAGGGCCATTACTTTTCACGCTTTACATGTTACCCTTGGGAGATATCATCAGGAAACATGGTGTTAGCTTTCACTGTTATGCTGATGATACTCAGCTCTATTTCTTCGCTGTCCGGCGAAACATACCAATTTGAAAAACGGAATGCATAGTCGATATAAAAAATTGGATGACGAGTAATTTCTTACTGCTAAATTCTGAAAAAATAGAGGTGTTCATTATAGGACCTAAACACTCGTAATAACCTAGAACACTGTCTAACACTTGATGGCTGCTCTGTCAATTCTTCGTCATCAGTTAGGAACCTAGGTGTGCTATTTGATAGCAATCTTTCCTTTGAAAATGTGACGGATGTTAATAAGAGTGTGCACTCACAATCTAAATTCATGTATTTCACTAATGAGCCTTCCTTTCAATTTTCATGTATTTACATTATATTAGTTGTTCACGAAAACGTGATAATTTAATTTTGTACTTTATTTGTGTCATTTTTGGGAAAAGAGTTTTATATTCATTTTATGTCGTGACGTCATTTCTGTTCAGCCCGTGCTGCGTCCTCAGACTGCGTTGAGCACACTGAGGAGAGGTAGGCAGTTAGTGGTGCTTCTTCAATATAAGCTTGTAAAAGTTATCAGAAGTTTTATTAAGTACCTAATAGGCAAAAATATTATTGTTAAGAGTGTTATACATATACTGGAAAGTGTTTTATTCGTGGATGGATGGGATTTAACAGTTATTACTGAGTACAGCGGTTTGAGTATATGTATGTGCAGCAGCAGAATTTTTTTTTTTTTTTTTTGCTAATTGATTAATTGGTGTTTAATCTGTCTAGGTGGGAAGAAAATCACAGAACGAAAACATTTCTCATTGTTGTACTCTCTCTCTACTCCATCCAGGTATAGTTTATTGTTAATTAGACTTTCTATTCTATCACTTTGTTCAATTCATCTATTCTAATTCATGGTTGATTTAAAATATGCTGCAGAAGATTATATCATATATTTGGATAAATGCTTGTAACCATTTATCTTGCACCGTATTTTTGATATGATATTTTTGATATCATTGTGATGTTCACTGAGACCGCGTTGAGCACGCTGAGGAGAGGTGGGAAGAAAATCACAGAACGAAAAGATTTCTCATTGTTGTACTCTCTCTCTACTCCATCCAGCATCTGCATGCTCCATGTTAATAAACCCTCCATCAGCAGCAGTTCCCGTGATTCGTCTCTTCATTTATAACACAACGCAGACCGTAACAGTGACAGTGGGGGGAGGGCCGGTTACAAAAGCCACATTTCTAGCATTTGTAAAACTGCATTTTTCCATCTCAAAAATATATCTAAATTACAACCTATGCTCTCAATGTCAAATGCAGAAATGTTAATTCATGACCTCAAGGTTAGATTATTGTAACGCTTTATTGGGTGGTTGCTCTGCACGCTTAATAAACAAACTCCAGCTGGTCCAAAATGCAGCAGCTAGAGTTCTTACTAGAACCAGGAAGTATGTCCATATTAGCCCGGTTCTGTCAACACTGCACTGGCTCCCTATTAAACATCGTATAGATTTTAAAATCTTGCTTTACTTATAAAGCCTTGAATGGTTTAGCACCTCAGTATTTGAACGAGCTCTTATTGCATTATAGTCCTCCACGTCCACTGTGTTCTCAAAACTCTGGCAATTTGATAACTAGAATATCAAAATCAACTGCGGGCGGCAAATCCTTCTCCTTTTTAGCACCCAAACTCTGGAATAACCTACCTAACATTGTTCGGGAGGCAGACACACTCTGTCAGTTTAAATATAGATTAAAGACCCATCGAAACGTCCGGTGGCACGCACTGCAAGATGGCTGCACAACACTAGGCTCCTGAGTATTAACCTCATATTTCAAGATATTAATTTCATACAGAGGAAAATATCATCTCTTTTTGACAACTGGACACTTCTAATACGAGAATGACTACCAGCAAAAAATCGATGTCTCCCCAAAAGCAAACGCCTCAAAACACTCGATGACGACGTTGCCTCAATTGTTAGCCACGCAATCAAAGGACAGCAGGAGGCTATGCAAAATAGTTTCTTGTATGTTGACAGAGGCGATAAAGACAGCACTTAATCCCTTCAATGACTATATTAACGAAAACAGCATTGTTCTTCGATCACTGAAACCAGAAATGGACTCTCTGAGTAAAAATTATGGCATTGATTACAACGAAAGTTGACAATCTTCAAGGCAGTTTACGCAAATAAAAAAAAGACACAAACTTCTGCTTGACTCAACTAGAGCAGATGCAACGAAAATGCAACAACCTCGAAGATCGGTCACGTCGCAACAACGTTCTTCTTGTCAATCTGCCAACAGGAATGGAAGGAGACGACCCTGTCGGTTTTCAACAGAAAATGCTACCTAAATGGATCCCCGATCTTTCGGCGCGCTCATGCCCGATTGAGATCGACAGAGCCCATCACGTATACTCGAACTCCAACTCACCTAGGCCACGATCGTTGATATTTCGGCTTCATCGCTACCCTGACAGGCAAGCTATCCTTTAAGGAGCAAGTAAAGCAAAACCCACTTTGCCCATAAGAGCACGTCTGGAGTTCTATGCTGATTACAGTCACGAGACGGCAACAAAAAAGGAAGGCGTATTCAACCATAAGATCCAAGCTTCACCAGAAAGGGGCTGAAACTTTCCTGATCTACCCAGCATTGCTGAAAGTCACTTACAAGGGTCAGAAATACTCACTTGAATCTCCGGAAGATGCTGAAAAGTATCTAGAGGGTCTTGATGGAGCAGCGACAACTATTGCCCGCAGATCTTTAAACTTCCCGCCTGAGGAGACAATGAAGGATGACTTATAACATTTTTGACCAAATTTGTTCAATACAAGGACTAGAAACCTTTTCAACATTTGCTCTTGGTTCAGCCCATCAGAGTGAATTGGTAACATGTTCCTATTTTTATACGGTATTTTTTATTTGTTTATTTTATTTTATTTTTCTCCCTCATGTGCAGATTGATAGACATTGCTTTATAGAGAGTTTTTAGTTGATTACTGTAAGCTTGCTAACCTAGAAAAGATGGGCCTTAGTTCATAATTTAATTCCAGTTGCCATAAAGAGTCGAGTTATGGAAATCACGTTAAATGATTATTCGGAGTTCTGTAAAAATCACCTTATAATTCTATATCCCTCAGTTTTTTTAATCATAGGGGTTATTAAGGCAAATAGAGTTTTAGACATTGCCTCGCGACCACCACAGATGTTTGCTAAAAGGGTTATATGGGAGAGGGAGGGGGTGCTTAGGCGCATAAAGCACCCAGGACCGCTAATGATTTTGTTGCTGCATATGGATATAAAAATCTTGGTTATATGTTCAACAACCTGTTTTTTACATTATGCGTTATTCTGTGTGAATATCCAGCAACTATAGACTATGGTTAATGTAAATATATTGTCTCTCAATGTTAGGGGGTTGAATTCTCCTATTAAACGTACAGGGGTTTTAGATCTTATGCACAGAAAGAAAACCCACCTTACCGCTATAGACACCCAAAGAATGCAAAACAGGCGTTATATTCCCATAGTATCATCAAGTTGTAATTCTGAAAAGCAAGGGGTGACAATTCTTTTTAAACGTAATTCTAATTTTATTATTGAACACAAAGGCTATGATGACGATGGTCGAGTTGCTTATTGCTGTGCTTTAATTGAAGGAAACAGGTATGCTTTTCCACAAGTTTTGAAAACACTTTTATCTCTTCATGGTTATTCAATCATCATTGGATCTGACATGAATGCCGTGTTTGACACAGTTTTGGAACATTCCAATCCTTCAGTTTCAATAACAGTCTCAGTCTTCTGCAACACTGATATTGTTTATTAAAGACCTAGACCTGTGTGATGCTTGGTGTTTACAAAATCCAACTGCTAAGGAATACACCTATTTTTCCCCAAGTCACAAATCCTTCTCAAGAATTGATTATATTTTACTTTCATCTATGCTATTTCCAGATCTAATACGCATTGAATTCCTACCACAAAGTGTTTCTGACCATAATGCTGTATTAGCACATCTCCAGATCAAGACATCCCGTAAACCATCCCAATGGAGATTTAATACTCTGCTTCTACAAAATGAGGACTTCCTTTCTCAACTGAGAGCAGAACTGACTGAATTTATCAGATTAAATCAAAACTCAGTCTCCAATTATGATATGTTATGGGCGTCTAACAAAGGCTTTTTAAAGGGGTCATATGATGCTGCTAAAAAGAACAGTATTTTGTGTATTTGGTGTAATGAAATGTTGTTTATGCAGTTTAAGGTTAAAAAACACATTATTTTACACATACTGTACATTATTGTTTCTCCTCTCTGCCCCGCCTTTCTGAAACACGTCAATTTTTACAAAGCTCATCGGTCTGAAAAAGCGAGGTGTGCTGTGATTGGCCAGCTATCCATTGCGTTGTGATTGGCCGAATACCTCAAATGTTACGCCCCTTGTCATATTGTATTGATGCCCTGTCAGGCCGGAGCAATGATTCAAAAACATGAAAACCCATTTTAAAGAGTCATTCGTTGCATGCAGTGGGGACATAATTATGGATTATAATGACTTATACTGTCTTTTTACTCGTTGCGTTGCATCGCGCCGCGTAAACATAAAACCATGTCTGCATTTGTGATCGGAGAAATGACAAACAACAAGCACTACTCTACACTGCCCAAAAACTTGCTTTAAATATATAAAATATAAAAACTCTTTAAATATAAAAGACGTACTTACAGTCTTTGAGTCAGAACAGCCGGCATTGTAGTCTACTCTTCCAGGAAACAGTCCTCCATAAAATGTGCTGCACACATCTGAATATTTGGGTTGAAGTGTTCTGGAACAGTGTTGTAAATACAACTTAACCACTGATTTCTAGTCATGTCCATTTTTGGAAGGCCAAACAAAGTAGTTTCACTTTCACAACGAAACAGCATCACAGTGAGCAGAGGCCGGGGGATAAAGTGAGGAACGGCAGGAGGGTTATAGTGAGCAGAGGTGCGGGCTTGAGAACGGCGCAACCGACGAAGGAGCGTCCAGAAGGACATGTGACAACTCCGGCTGGACTCCGATTCCTCCATGGTGAAAGCCGATCGGGCGATCCACAGCGCAAAGTTGTAGTATTTCCTCAGCGACCAGCACTGATCAGCTCCAGGCATGACGAAGCAGATATCGTCCTCTTTTGGAAGACCAAACAAAAGTAGTTTCACTTCTACAACGAAGCACACAGCATCTTTTCGACATTGCGGCGGAAACAACAATACTACAGCGAGAATAAAAGTTACGCCTTCTTTCTTTGCGTGAACATTTGGGCGGTGTTATGCAAATCTTCCCACAGAGCGACGTAGGTATGTTGGGGCATGTTAGAACGAGCCATTTTAGGTAGGTGTGGCTGACTCTTAACTTTTATCAAGAATATCTCTTTGGATTTGAGACTTTAGTCTTTGCAACTTTACAGATCTTCTTTATGCACCAAGAGCTTGAAACACTTCAAAAAGAAAGGAAAAATTGAAATCGCATCATATGACCTCTTTAAAGGACCAAGCCATTTCCTTTTCTGCTAGACTTAAAAAGAAATATTTTGAACAAATATCAGTATTAGAAAGAAGATGTGGGGACTTAGAAAGGGAATTAGGTTACAACTTTTCCAGTATTACACTACATAAGTTAAATGTTGAAAGGGCTGCGCTCAATAATTTGCTTCAGAAGTGAATATTCGCAGAAGTGCAGAATATTTAATGCATATTACAAAACATAAATACTATATAGATGGAAGCAGACCAAGCCGACTCCTTGCACTTACTCTGAAAAAACATGAGCAACGTTTTAATATACGGGCGATTAAAAAAAAAAAAAGATTTCTCAGTTCACATCCCAAAGATATTAACTATATATTCACGTCATTTTTTGAAAAATTATATACTTCAGAAACACAACCCAGTACTGGACAGTTAAAAAGATTTTTTGATCAGTTGAATTTAAATAAACTTTCAAAAGAGGAAGTGGACAACCTTGACTCTGACATAACCTTAGAAGAATTACATAATGCAGTAATTTGTTCGAATAAAGGAAAGTCTCCTGGAATTGACTGCCTCCCAGTAGAGTTATACTT